CGTGGCAAGGTATAGATTTATGGAAATGGATTAATTTAAGCTATAAGAACAGTTAGCAAGAAGCCTGCCACGGCCATACAGTTTATAAGTAATATAAGTGTCTGAGTGATTATTTTATACGTGGATTGTGGGACTTGGTGGAACATGGAGAGAAGCCCTCCAGCAACATCTGTCATGAATTCTCTTGCACATCACTGCTTTGAGCCTAGGCAGGTAAAAAGATAAGTATACTATATGGTTAAACCAGTTTCTTAATGAGTTTGTGCTTTGCAGAAAGTATTATGAAATAGTTAAAAATAATAGCCATTCACTGAATAAATAGGGAAGTTTTACTAGGAACATTGTTTGTGTTTGTCAAATGAGGTGTAATAAAAATCTTAGATTATATAACAAGAACTATTTTCTTCTAGACAAAGAAGAAATAGGTTGGTAAACATTTTCTGTTGTGAAATCAGTACACATTCTCTTCATTTTTTTTTTAAAGATTTTATACATATGGATGTTTTGCTTGCATATATGTTTGTACAATGCCCTTGGAGGCTAGCAGAAGGTATTGGGTTCCCTGGAACTGGCGTTAACTGGACTTAATTAGTGATGGGAATCAAACTCTGGTTCTCTAGAGGAGCAGCTACCTAACTCTTAAGCATCCCTCTGCCTCACTTATTAATATTAGTTATGTGTTTAAATATGTATAGAAACACTGCAGAATGTTTAATACAGTGCTATATAATTAGTATTGTCTCTAAAATATTTGTATTCCTCAGGGCTTCTGTATGTAACGTACTGTTGACTTGCTGTAAAGATAATGTATGTCGTCTTTGGGTAGAAACCTTTTTACCAAATGAGTGCTTGCTATATGGAGGTGACTGCAACCACTGGTGTGAGCCAATTAATTTAACAAATAACTTCAAGAGAAATGCTTCCAGTAAAGACCGAGTTCAAAGTGCTCTAGAAGTAAGTATTTTTATTAAGTTATGTGTTTTCTACAGATTTTAAAATCTTTTATGCATTTTCTTTATTTTATTTTATTTTATTTTATTTTATTTTATTTTACTACACAGTAATATAAGTAGTATATCTTAGGAAAACAGTTATCAGAAATGTTTTTTTATCTTATTAAGAAAGTACACTTAAGTATTTTTTTTTTTTTTTT